AGATTGGTCCGCAAAGTTGTTCCTCGGCCCTGTGCACTAACACGGGCCTTTTACGGGGCCTTATATGGGCAACTGTTGGCCTCACGCTTACTTTTCTGATATTCTGGGGTGGGTTTTGGGAGGGGGGGGTACCATATATATATATGTATGCGAAATCATATTTAGGACATTTTTTTGCGGTTTATGAGTTTATGAGTGTGTAATTCAGGAGGGAAACTATTCTTGTTCAGACATCCATGTTACACCTTTCGGGGCCGAGGTTTGGGTGTCAGGTTTCGGCCAGGCGGGTTAGGCCTTTGGATTTGGTTTAGGGTTGAGGGAAAAGGGATTTAGGGTTTGGGTTTGGGTTTAGGGTCATTTTCTTTGGATTTGGAGTTTGGCTGTTTCGAACCCTCCGCGCAGTAGTCCCAGCACAAGAGGTGCTTTGCAGGACACTCTATTTGGGGCCTCGTTGTATTTGGCACCCCCTAGCTCGGGGAGGTTGTTGTTTCGAAATTTGGACCCGAAGCTGCAATCGCAAAAGTCCGGAACTTCTGTACAATAGGGTTAAGCAGGAGCCTTAATAATTCGAGTGAGGGTTGTGGGGTACATTATACTATAGTTACAATAAGGAGCCCCCCAAAAATAGTATATGTCATCATGCAGGCCCCTATATTACGTGAAGCGTTTGCCGGTTAGAGTTCAGCTGAGGGGACGAAGCTTCCAAAGCCGGGAAGCTCCCTAGAACCAACCGTAAACCCTAAACCCTAAACCCTAAACCCTAAAGCCTAAACCCTAAACCCTAAACCCTAAACCCCAACCCCCGACGAGGACAAGATCACTCGTGATAAGCCGGGCACTCAGAAGACATCAGACGCAGCTTTTGCCGGAGTTTAGGGTTTAGGGCTTAGAAGCCTACAGGGTTTAGGTTTAGGGTTTAGGGTTTAGGGTTTAGAAGCCTACGGAGTTTAGGTTTAGGGTTTAGGGTTTAGGGTTTAGGTTTTAGGGTTTAGAAGCGTACATCTTTATTGACTGCTGAGGAGTGGCAAGGTGACCGAGCTCGTTGGAAGACTGAACTTGGAGGGCAACGTGAAGGACACGAAGAAGAAGATCCACTGGGTAGGATCCTGAGGTGAGGGTTTGAGGTTTAGGGTTTAGGGTTTAGGGTTTAGGGGTTAAGTAGATGATGATATAATTTATTTAATATAGTATAACACAATGGAAAATAACATAATATGCTATAACATTATACAGTAGAATTTAGTACAAGTTCCTTTGATTTAGTATTAGATATTGATATGTATGTTTATACCCTAAACCCTAAACCCTAAACCCTAAACCCTAAACCCTAACCCAGGGTTTAGGTTTCCTGTCTCGATCCTGGCCAGCAGTGTCTGACATCAGGTGCCCAAGCTCGACGAGCAGGCAGAGATCCGCGGTGTTGATCCTTCCTCCAGTGGTTTGCTTCTTAACTTATATACATATATATATATATACATATACATGTGTATATGTATATATATATATTCCCTCTATAGATATAGACCATAGATTGAAAGTTACAGGTTATAGATATAGATTATAACTTCTGGGTTCCAAATATAGATTTCAGAGTACAAAGGTTTTAGATCCCTGAAATACTAAGCTCCCGAAAATCCTACAGAATACGAGCGGCTTAACCCCCCCCCCACCCCCCCCACCCCCTGCCCCGGAAGCGTGAGACTTCCTCAAATCCGCTTGAGGAGCGGGTCGCTCACTTACGCGAAACCTGTCCTGAACCCCATAATATGGAGTTTAGGGTTTAGGGCTTAGGGTCTAATGATATTATCATAAAGCCTAAACCTTGAGACCCTTACACCCTGAACTAATCACGCCCTAAAGCAGGTCACTCCCCTCATTCTCCGCGAGTTCGACCATCTTGTGACCAAGCCGAATCCCAAGTCGCCGACAGAAGCCTGTCAAGCTCTGCCCGCAAGGAACCCTAAACCCTAAACCCTAGACCCTAAACCCTGAACCCCAAACCCTTAAAGGGTTTAGGGTTTAGGGCACCTGCCAGTGAGTGAAACAAGCCAACGATGGAATCTGACGATGGTGATGCGACGGGGACAGCAGCAGCAGCAGCAACAGCAGCAATAGCAACATCATCAGCAGCAACAGCGAGAGCAGTAGCACCACCAGCATCATCATCATCGTCATCTTCATCATCATCATCATAATCATCACCGTCATCATCATAGTCAGCATCATCATCATCATCATCAACAACAACAGCATCGTCAACATCAACATCTTCAGCAGCATCATCAACAACACGATCTTTAGGTCATGCTCGGAAGGCCAATAATGATGCCACGGACATGAACCGTGCTAGTACCCAGAGGCTCATCTTAGTCGTCAGACTATCCACGTGTACTGCTGCTGTGAAGTTTGTTCAGTTGACTCGCACCGAAGCACCATAGCTCTTGCGTCACTGTTCAAAGCAGAAAATTTAGGCTGTAGGGTGAACCCAAAGCTCTGAAACTTGCAGATCCCATGCTGCAACTCGGAAGAGCTTCGCCGACCAACTGAGGCCCAAGATGGAGGACGACGATGACCTGAATGGCATCATCAATCCACAGAGCGTCGTAGACACCAAAGCTGGCACCTGAGGAGCAGGGAGATAGAGACGGTTTAAGGGTTGAGGGTTGTGGGCTTAGGAGTTTTAGAGTTAAGGGCTGAGGGTAGACGTTAGGGTTTGAGATTTGGGACTTCGTGGTTTAAGTTTTAGGGTCAAGATGAAGGCACAGGGTGTAACGCTTACAGTGCGGGGGCCCAGTTTCTGAAATATCCCGCAAGGAGGGTTCTTGGTTTTTTACTATGATAGCTTCATGTCAGCGACCTACAGTCTCCATTGTAGTTCCTTGTTTTGGTTTAACCAACTCTATATTTAGGATCCTGTGATCCTGTGATCCTGTAAGATAGTCCCAAAAAGGAACTACAATGGAGACTATAGGGAGTATACGTTCCTCAACAGGGGTTTCGGAGCCTTTGGGCGGTGCGGAGAGGAGAGTTCCTTTTTTCGGGTTAGGGACGGAGGTCAACACCCTAAACTCTAAACCCTAAACCCCAAACAATAAACCCTAAGCCCCAAACCCTAAACCCTAAACCCTAAACCACCGGAAAAGCACGCAGAAGATCTGAACTTGCAGGTGGTCTAGGGGCGTCTTTCCTTCCACTCTAACTCCAAACAGGAACCCTTAACGAATAATTAGAATAGGGTTTTGGGTGGTATACTATATACTATACTTATAATAAGGGGAACCCAGGGGGTATACTATATAGAGTACTATATACTATAATTATAATAAGGGACCCCCTTAACGACGAGGCCATCGGCGATCCCCTCGTCAAGGGCCTCCCCAAGGGCACGATGATGCAGCTGGAGCGTCGCGGTCCCGGATGCACCCGACAAAACAACGCGGGACTTGTAGAAATTGTAGGGTTTGCAGCGGCGGCTTCGGGTTTTTGGGGTACGGTCGAACTTTATGTTTAGAAACCACATTCCTCCACCATTCCTTCACCAGACTCTCAGACATTTCTTAATCGGATAATTCTAGAGATCCACGAGAGTCTCAGCATATTGCTCACTGGACATCTGTTGGGGCTTGTCTGGGCTCTGGCCACATTCTCTTATCGGGGCCTGATCCCGAATTCGGGGTGTGCAGCCCTTCAAGTTCAATTTTTGTAATCCTCTAGCCTAGATACCCCTGCTTCGCGAATGGGACGCTTCGGCATCCCACGAAACATGCTGGTTGTGTTCGATGCGGCATGCTGGTCTGCTGGTATTTCGAGAAAAGCAAGAAAGACTTCGGATCAAAATCAAGAATCATGGCTTCAAACCTTGCAAAGCAAAGCGTCAAAACAACAGCTGGGGGGGCGCGGCGCCCCTGGTGTTGTGAAACGGGGTGAACCCTAGAGGGGGGTGGGTGGGATAGGAGGACAGACAGGGGTGGGAAGGAGAGGAGGGGGGGTGGGGATGGGAAGGGGGAGGGGTGAAGAGGTGGTGGGCAGCTGGCACCCAAATCGGGCGCTCAAATTCGAAATCGGCAGGGGCTGGGGTGGGCTGGCGCCCAAATCATGCGAACTAGATGCTAATTCCCTCAAATCCACGAACGAGGCTCCGGAGGTGTTGTGGTGGACTGACACAGAAGCTCGTTCCCAAATGGATAGAACCCTAGACTGCGAAACCTAGGCATAAAAACCTTTGAAACTGGGGATCAGAAGAATCTCCATGAGTGTTCCCTCATAGCCTGTTTGGGGGGAAACCCACAAAAGGATGAACATAAATCGCCTTCGAGATCCCGCGCAAGAGGTCGGGGCTACTTCATCGTGGACCGACCCGCCTTCCAGCCGGGCCAGGGGGTGAGTCCTTCGGAACCGTCGGGGCCCTGAAGTTGTAGGGTTTAGAAAGTTTAGGGTTTAGGGTTTATTTTAGGGTTTAGGGTTTAGGTGCTTTCGGTATATAGTGAAATGTACAGCTGGTAGGCATGGTTAGGGGGTGTTTTCGGTATTGCGAGATGGCTCGCTGTGCTTGCCAACAAGTTTCGTGAGTTCTACACACTAAAAGCCCTAAACCCAAAGCCCTGAAGCAACGAGCGTGCCATCGTGAAGCCCCAAGAAACCTGCACTCCAAAACCCTAACATCCAAAGCCCCGGGGTGGTGTTTTAGGGCTTTGGGGATGGGTTTCAGGGTTTAGGGTTCAGGGCTCTCTAAATCAGGGTTTAGGGTTTAGTGTAGTTTGTAGGATGCAAACTACGAAGCCTCGTGATGCCTTGGTGATGCAACAGGTTTAGGGTTTAGGGTTTAGGACCCCAGTTTAGAGATCTGCCCGCACGTTGCTCTTATGGTCTGTTTAAGCACGCCCAGGTATCCTAACCCCGAGCCCCGAACCCTGTATCAGCCAAGACGCGCGAACAGTAGACCCGAAAGCCTACATAAGAATTTCAAGCCGGTGGGTTCATCAAGCCCCATAAACCCAAGATAATATAGAGGCCTTAATAATTAGAATAGGGTTCTGGGTCCCATTATGCTATGATTACAATCAGGACACCCCCACAAAAAAATCTAAATTGTTAAAGCCCCTACATTAGACACTGAGGATGGTCTTGGTGAAGATCCCCGACGGCAAGAGCAAGGATATGGGAATGAAGTCTAAAGTCGGCCGCCCAAGGTTTGAAGTTTAGGGTTTAAGGTTTTTCAGGGTTTAGGGAATTCGAGTTTAGGGTTGTTCAGGGTTCAGAGTTGTTTAGGGTTGTTTAGGATTTAGGATTGAAGAGCTTGAGGGGTTGCAAGGGTTTCTAATTGGGGGTGCTTCTTTAGGCTTGGGGGCTCAGGATCTAAGGATTCGTTTTTAGGGCTTTTGCAGTTTGGGGGTTGTAGGGTGTAGTATAGAAGCCTAAATACTTACCCATATTCCTGTTAGGGTTCCTTATAATAATAATACTATAAAGGAGCCCAAATCCCGATTCCAGTTATTAAGGCCCCTACAGTACACCCTAGGACCCTAAACCCCAAGCCTAGACCCTAGACCCTTGCCCCTAAACCCTTGAACCCTAAACCCTTAAACCCTAAACCCCTCAACCCTACCCTAAGCGTTCTATGAAGGTTTCGAGCCGGGGCAGGGCGGGGTTTAGGGAATCCGGGTGTAGGGTTTAGGGTTTAGGCTTCAGGGGAGGATTCTGCGAATTAGGGTGTAGGGTTGGGTTTAGGAAATTGGGGAACGGCTTATGAGTCAGAGTCTGTCTCTGGCATGGGTCTACGATCGGATGACTCCTGGGGCATAGGCCTTAACCCCTGAGTGAACTTAAACTCGAAACGCCCGAAGCCTTTAACCCAAACCTCGTATTCCTAGACAACCCCAGACCCTCTTGTACAAGCCCTTATAGCAAGCCTTGCAGGTTTAACTCAACCTTTTTATAGGACCCCTTATGCTAATCCTACTTCCCCCGAGTGCTGTGTTACACACCGGGGTTTGCTGAGGTGGATCCGTCGAAGCTTCAAGGTGCAGCCGGCCAGAAAGGCTGCCCTGTTGATGTTGTTTGGGGTTTAGGGGTTTAGG